GAGTGATTTTAAACATAGATGTTACTATCAACTCTTATAGAACTACAAATTCAAATATATATATGTAAGTCAAAATGGGTTTATTTGTTTGTAAATTTGTTTATTTGTTCCAAAGGTCTTTACATGGATTGATGTATCTTGACAAAACTTGGCATATATATCCATAATTATCCAGAATCAAGTACTTGGTGGGGTGGGGTTATGAACTTTTTATAACATTCCGTTTCGGCCGAGGGCTCCCAATTAAATTTTTTTTTCTAATATGAGCTATATAAATTTTAAAAAAATAACTTTAAAGGAACTTGTAGCGATTGATCCACCCATGCAGTATATCAATTTAAATGATATTTATGAATCTCACAAAAAATATAAAAAAAACAACAACACCGGCCCCAAACTAAAAATTATAAAATGGTTTAACTAATCCAGAAACTTACTTATTATGTCAAAAACAAACTGAAATATTTTAAACATCTCTCGTATTTGATTCAATTTCATCTACCATGCAATAGCTCTGTTTGATTTTTTTTTCTTACTTTAAGATCATTTTGATCATGAGCGGTTTTAAATCAACAAAATTTAGAGCTGTATCTAAAATAGGCAATCGTGCCATGACCTTATTTAAGTACTAGAATAAATGACCCGATGTTATCGGGTAATAATGGTAGGTCCTTTGCGATAGTTTGTACCTAATATTGCAAAATCCCATCATAATTACTACGTTTAAAAAAAGTATATATATGATGATATTTAGGTTTCTAACATCATTAACTTTTGAGAAGTATTTATCTGCTATATATTAACAGCCTCCCGTACTCACTTTCACTCCCCTAAACTACATTTTCCTTCTAAACATGACATTAAATTACGCAACTAAATTATCATTAATTACATCAATTTTGTCACGAAAGAATATAATTGAGGGGCGATTTCTACGCTAGAGAATTAATTTAAAATTTTCCCCTTTTCGTGTCCTGGAATTCCAACCTTTTTTTCTAAAAATTGTTAAAAAACATAATATTAAATTCATAACAAAAACTCTAAATATGATATACAAAAATAAATTAAGAAATTTAATATATTACTATCTTCATCAAAATTTAAACACACTTTTGCCTTGCTTTTGTAATTATGCATTATCAGAAATTCGTGAAACAAAGAATTCACTTATCTAAAGAAGAATCTCGTAACCGTTTTTCACGTCTCTAACAGACTTGAGTGTCTTTTTTTTTTAAATTGTGAAACAAAAATTCGCATCCACTTCACTTTTCGCAAAGTAAAAAACAAAAATAGATTTTCATTAAAAAAAAAAATTAAAAAAAAAAAATTAAAAAAAATAAATTTAAAAAAATTACCTTTTAAATAATAAAATTGTGAAACAAAAATTCGCATCCACTTCACTTTTCGCAAAGTAAAAAACAAAAATAGATTTTCATTAAAAAAAAAAATTAAAAAAAAAAAATTAAAAAAAATAAATTTAAAAAAATTACCTTTTCAATAATAATTGTATAAAATGATTGGGGTGGTTTGATATTTATGGGCATACTTTAATAACTGTATCAAAGGTTTGTTAACACCATTGATTTTCTTAATTGGTAAAACTATGTTTATTTGTAAATAGAGAATGTAACATCTCTTTTTTCACAAATGTAAAACCATAGGATTTAAATATGTTGTCATCAACGTAAAAATGTACACATCCTTTTTCCTACCTCCGAGAGGTATGTAGGGCTACCCAAGAAGGTTAATTATTTGTCAAATTCATTCCTTTAATTTGAGACGTATCTTGTGCGCTCCGGGGAAAATTTAACATACACATATTTGTAAAAAGAGAAAGTAGCATCTCTTTCTTCACAGATGTAATACCATAGGAATTAAATATATTGTCATTCACGTAAAAATGAACACATTCTATTTCCTACTCCAAAAAAAGGTTAATTATTTATCAAATCCATTACTTAGTTTGAGAGGTATCTTGTGCTGCCTGGGGCAAAGTGTCCAACCCCTCCCCGACCCAGATTTAAATAAATTTAGAAAATCTTCCACCGGATTGTAGTCCCTTCCATACTCAAACTAACATATTTTGCACTTCATATGGTTCGTTCTTATTTGTTTGAAGTTTAAGTGGATTAGCGCATGCTATTTAGCTATGGTGTTGCGCTGAACTGATTTACCTACACCGCATTTCTTATTAGAATTATATTTAAAGGTTTGTTTTTATAACGTTTTAAACTAATAAAAGTATATTTTTGGAATCAAAGCATGCAAAACTTTTTAAATGTAAAAATATGCAACTGTAATATGTATGAGGTATAAGTGGATTAGAAATTTTTATTTAGCTATGGAGTTCCGCTGCATGATTGAATTAAACCGCATTTTCTTATTAGAATTATATTTAAAGGTTAGTTTTTATTACGTTAAAAATTAATAAAATTATATTTCTGGAATAAAAAAAGGCAAAACATTTTAAATGTAAAAATATACAAAGCAGAAATGTGTGTGTCTTTTATTATCAATTTAAAAAGTAATCAATTACATTTATTAATTTTACTTTTAAGAAGGGAAAATACATTATCAGTTTTGTCAAGCGCGGTTATTAGAATTAGAGAAGCTTAAGAGTTTTGTCGAAAGAGGCTATTCGCACTATGACGTCAGTGCGTGATTATTTAGAACAAATTAATTTTATTTCGCAATATTAACAACGCACTAAAAGACGCACTAAAAAACGACTGATGCTTGGGTTTTCCCGATAAATGTGATTACGGTGATACTAATTTTTTTTCATAATTTTCACACACATATAAAATGCTTAAAATGTTTATTGAGTTGATACTTGAAATGTATTTGTAATTTACAATAATATAACTTTAACTTTTACTAAAATAAAAGCAGATTTAAAATATTTTGTGCATTTAATTTTTTTTCGGTTTCCTAAATAATAGAAAATAACTATAATTGTTTTTATGAATCCGAACGTACTTAAATGGTATATGTTCTTATATATATATATA